AAATTTTTACAAACCCCTGCTCGTTAGATTTTGAAACAAAATCTCAGTCATTTATTAAGATACCCGTTTATTCTAGACCTGAGAGTAATGACATTCATTTTAATTTAATAAATTTAATTTTAAATAACAAAATAAAAACATAAGCATTCTTATAGAGCAATTTAAAAAATAAAACTTTTGATGGCATTATTTATTTTCTTGAACATTCATGACAATCACACCAATTATTGGGGTCCTTCATCAAGGTGGAAATGTCATTAGGGTGGCATTCTGTGTTATATCAAAGCTGGTCAATGGAGTTGGTTGCTGGGCAACCAACTTGTCTTGCTCAATGGCTCGGTGTCCAGAGCAGTAGATCACTTGCAAGTTCTTGTTTTGCTTGCCAATAGTGACCTGTAAAGCACATTGTGTTTGTGTAAGATTGTAGAAATATCCATTGACTTGGATGTTGTCTCCAAGGGATGTTAAGTACAGCTCTCAGAATCCGAGTGTAGGTTCCATCAAGCTTAGACTCAATGCTTTTACTTAGTGACCAATCAGTAGTACCATACCTTAACACCGCCTCTACAGTAACTCAAAGGATATCCATTTGAGGTTGTCTGTTAGATCAGATTTCCAGATTACATCCATTTTATTCAAGACCTCTATGTCAATGCGCCTAAAACTGAATTTATAGCCTCCAACGAGCAAGGTTCAATACAGTCTCGGATAAATCAGTAAAATCTGATGAAACTTTTACATACCTATGAAGTGAGATAAATTTTACTGAAAAGGATGTGAAAATGGCATTATGTAAGGCAGTGGTTCCCAAACTTTTTTTTTTTCTCTGGGCTGCATTTTCAGAATGAAAATTTACTTGCACCTCACCAAACTTTGTGATAAAAAGTAGATTTTAAAATAGAAAAACAGTGAGAGGGTTTAAGGGAGATAACCACAGATTCAAAGTCAGAGCATTATCATTGATAACTCTCTCCCCCAATTTGCGGACCCAAGTTACTATATTCTTAATACTTGATATAATGCAAACATATCAGAATGATAAAATTGATCAATAATCATTTTGAACTATTTATACTGGGACTCGTGTATTCAGGAGAGATTGGCAGATGAGGAGGAGGAGGAGCTTTTTCCCCCCCATCTGAGTAGATGCTGCAATTGTAGTATTTGTTCTTTTTCTTTCCAACTTGCATTCCCCCAACCGTTATAAAACATCTATTTCGTAGTGGTGGTATGACTAGCTTAGAGGAGGCACGGTGGAGTAATGGATAGCGGCTTGGATCGAGGAATCGGAGAGCCGAGTTCGAATTCCAGTCAGATCCATTACATTCACTTACGTGCTAACACCCTTGGGAAAGGTGTGAATCCTCTTTCTTCTCCCTCTAGCTATGGGTAAATAGCAGGACAGACTGGGTTCTATAGCCTTGGATGGCAACTGGTCTAGGAGAAGGAAAACTCTGAATTCAAACCTGCGGAAGGTGAATGGAGTCTCTCTGAGCCTTGGTTGGCAATCCATTTAGTGATGGTGTCACGATAAAAACACCCTTGATAGCCCTAGCGAAGCATCAAGTATTCAGCTATTTGACAAGATTATGAACTACACCAATCAAAGTATTAGTGAGTTCAATCTCGGCTGAGGCCACAAGATGATGAGCTTAGACAAGCTCTGACCAGTTTAGACAAGTTACGACCAGTGGCCCAAGCGGAAATACTCAGGTTCCCACGTTAAAAACCGACCTTGTGTCACAACCTGACTCAATGTGTGTGGTGGGAGATCAAGGTAAATCCCGGGTCTCATGCATGCAATTACAAGCAATCCCTAATATTTAAAATTTTGAAATCATATTTATTTTTGGCATATGAACTTTTTAAAACTGTTTCTTTCAATCATACCACCTCTCCTGCTATTGCCTTTCTGCAACACCTATGAAGCATATCACACCATTTGGGAACCAATGATGTAAGGACTCAAATAATACTAAATTTGTCAAATGTAGTTTTATTTACCAAAACAATGAATAGTAGTCTTTTTGTATTTTCTAAAATTTACACTAGTAAAAACTTTAATTTATAATATAATGGGTGCGATGGATAAATTGTCGCCATTTTATATTTTTAATTTTGTGCATGTGTTGTTTTTGATTTTGTCAACTGCACAGTATGGTAGGGTCAGTTGGGCATTATCTGTGAGAAAAAAAGCACCATGATGCAATTCACTCCACCAGGAATTTGGAAACAGCATGCTGTACTTCTTGGCGTTTGTGCCGGAAGGTCCGATATGAACATTTCAAAGTGTTTGAGTGTCAATCTGAGGACAGTGCAGAGAATTCAGAAAGTGTTGGATGAGTCTAATGGTGATTACAAAGGCATGGCAGCTTGGAAAACTCACTCCCAAATTTGTTGGTGAGAGTCTCAGATTCAACATGGAGGCCTACATCAAGTGCCTTGAGGAGGTAATACTACCCTGGGTCAAAAGGTATTGCCTGGACGACCCTATGTCAGGCAACAGAAGTCTGCAGCATACCACACAAGCATGAGAACCCAGTCATGGCTGTCAAACAATTTCTGCAACCACATCACCTCTTACATCTGGCCACCTAACTCCCCAAACTGCAACCCCCTTGATTATTATGTGTGGGGTGCAGTTGAGCAAGAGACCAACAAAACTCCTTGTAATACCAAAGATGAACAGAAGGCAAGGAGTATGGCAGCATTCATCAACTTAAACAAGTCGACCACAGAGAAGATATGCAGGAGATTCCAAAGCCGCCTGGAGGCCGTGGTCGAAGCCAACGGTGATTTTATTGAATAAATTTACTCTTTCATATGTCAAGATATTTTTGTGTAATTTTGGTAAATATATCTGTTAAAACGAAATGTCAGTGTTATTTTCATTTTTGCATAATTTAGACAATTCATTCATCACACGCTGTATATTATAATAAAGATGTGGAAAACAGTCCAAACATTGTAGTGTAAATATATTTTTCCAGTTTTGAAACTTTTCAATCTTTTATGTTTGTTTGTTTAAAAAAAATATATATATATATATATATATATATATATATATATATATATATATATATATATAATGTCATATATGTAAATTATATATGTTCCAAGTGTTATAGCTGGGGGTGATAGTGGGGATAAGCTCCCACTGTCTATAAATGCTCCCATAGCATATGTCTCAAATAGCTTCTGTCAACTAATTCCATTTCCAAACCAGAGAAGGAGAAAAGTGCCTCATAAACAGATGGCATTTTGTAACAGTCCAAATATTCAAGGTGGCAGTGAGCATGCCAAATTTAATTTTATTTACCAAAATATGTAATTTTATATTGTAATTTCTTATGGTAATTTACACAAAACAAACATTCAATAAGGGTTCAAATCTCTCAGACAGCAGTGGTGATTTTCTAAGTGTAGCTTAGGTGTGACACAAAGCCAAAAATATGGGGTACACAGTGAGGATTGAACTATTCACTTCTAACTGATCTAGCAAGACAAGCTTGCTGTTTCCCCACATCAAAGTGCCCAAATGATTTTTTAAGCATAGCTTAGATGTGGCACAAGGCTGAGAGTAAAGGGCACTTAGTCAGGATCAAACTCACTATCCAGTCATAAATGATCTAGTGAGACAAGTTTGCTGTTACACTATGCTGCAGTGCCTTACTTAAGATAGCAGTGAACGTTAAATTTTTTTTAGATAAGGCATTTTAATTATTGTAATTGATTTAGTCTGAGAAAGGCCAGGAATATAAATGCAAGCCCAACAACCCCTAAAAATGAAACTTGAGGAAAATGAGAAAACTGAAATCTGTGAAGATACTTTAGAATCAGGTATAGCTGATCATGTATGAAAGGAGAAGGAGCACACCAGTTTTTAAGTAAAAATAATAGAGACAAGAAAGAGCAGCAGAAAATAAGAAAAAAAACGAAGGAATCTGAAAACATTCACGACTCATTTAACCAGTCAACCAGGCATAGGTGTTAATAGATAATGGGAAATGCTAATCAGGATGGAACTACTGATTATGTTAAGATTCCAAAAACCTGATCTGTGATTAATTAAGAGACAAAAACGGAAAATAACAATAATGATGGTGGGCAAAACAAAAAAAACTTAGGAGCAAGCAAGAAAAAACGACAAAAAAAAATCATGTCAAATAAAGTAACCGGTTATCACTCCTTACTCTCCAAGACTCAATCAATAAAAAAGTAAAAACTTTTGTGCACACTGACTACAAAGGAAATCGGAATAAAAGATACACATATCAGTAATATACTGAGACGGGTGTATTTTCATAAACAAATCAAATTCTGCCCTAACAACCAATACCGAATGTAATACAGCAGAACCCGATTCTGGGAACCTCCATTATCATACAATTTGATTACTGTCCACTTTTTTTCGTCGAAAAACATGCCTAAGAAATTGTACATCTCCTCGGTTATCAAGCGAGAAAATCTATTCGTTATAAACCAGCAGCTTCCTGTTTGCTTGCTGCTGCGTGACTTCAACAAGCACAAAGAAAGGAAATAACCCCAGAAAAAAAGACTTCCCAGAAGCCTTTACGGAGGGAGATACCCTTTCCAAGCAATAACACCTCACCTTCCTCTCCACTCCTAACCATCTTACATACACCAAAAAGTAAAGCAAAGTTAAATGTTCATTTATTCTATTTGTCATTTATATTTATTTTTATTTTCTGCATGTAAAATTACAGTTATTCTATATAAAATGTCTGTTTTGTTAATATTTTGATTGATTTGTTTTCTATGGCTTATCAATCCTTTGCAAGTTTAAGCCAGAAATTATTTTTAGATTTTTTTTTAAAAACATAATGGTTTTAGTGATACAAATCTTACTAATTAACCCATAGCAGGGGGGAGAAGAGTTGGGTTTGAACCATTCTCAAAGGTATTTGCATATATTTGAATATAACAAACCCAATTAACAATTCCAAGTCATTATACATTACACCACCTGCACATCCATGCTTACAGCACCTGGTATTCCCAAATGGTCACCCATTTCAGTATTGACCAGGCTCTGACATTGCTTAACTTTCATGGTCATATGTGAACAGGTGCTTCAACGTGATGTGGCAGTAAGCCAGTTAACAGTTTAGGTGTCTGAAATGGATTAATTGGATTTAACTTATTTTTTATGGGAATATTACCTCGGTTTTCGTACAGTTCAGCTTTCAGATGACTTTCAGGTATGGATTATGGCTGATAACCAAGATTCCAATGTATGCGTATAAAAATACACCCATCTCAATATATTATTGAGACGGGTGTAATTTCTCTTTTTTTTCGGTTTTCTCTTTTTAGTTGTTGTGCACAAGAAATTTTGCTCTTCTCAATCTAATTTTGGTGAGCAAGGCGTGATAACTGGTTAGCCCTTTGATTTTTGTGTATTTTTTTTTTTTTTTTTTTACTTACTCGTTCCTAATTTCTTATTGCCAACTACAATAATTGTTGTTGTTTTCACTTTTTGTCGCTTTTAGCTATATTTGTTTTTACTGTCTTAAAAAGAGGATTAACTTATTCTGAACCAATGCTAAAACCCAAAACTTTTTGGCCATGACAAGAAAAAAAAAAAAAAAAAAAAAAAAAAAAAAAAAAAAAAAACACAAATTAAAAAAAATCACAAAATAAAAAAATCATTCAATCCATTCTCAAGTCAGTATAATTTCAGTGCGGTGAGTATTCTGATGTCGGGTGAGATCACCCTTTAGCGTGAATGCTTTTTCACAGAATGAACACTTATAAGGGCGTTCACCTGTATGAGTGCGAATATGCCTGTTAAGATCCCCACGCAGTGAGAAAGCCTTGCTGCAGTAAGTGCATGCAAATGGCTTCTCCCCAGTATGTGTTCGAATGTGCTGTGTGAGGTGACAAGATTGGGCAAATGACTTATCACAGTACTGACAAGCAAAAGCCTTACCCTGAGTTTTACCATGTGTCATGAGGTGGGCACTAAGACGACTTGAATGCAGAAACGTCTTTTTACAGATGGGGCACTGCAGTGGGCGTGGCCCCGTGTGAATCTTGATGTGGTTCACAAAGTCTTTGTAGTGCAGGATCTCTCTACGGCAGTATTTGCACATGAAGGGCTTGCTTCGCCGGTGGACATTCATGTGCTTTGTTAGCTGCTGGTTTTGATTGAAAACCTTGTCACAGTATTTACACTGGAATCGCTTTGCATTTGGCACTGGCTCTATTTGGTCCGCAAAATTCTCAGAATTTTCGGCAGGCAGTGTTTTGTTGCCAAAGTGTGCAATCAGATGGTTAACAAGATCAGCACGCTCAAGAAAAGATTCATTGCAGATGTTGCATACATGTGGCAGTGGTGTGCTAGCTTTGGGATTGGTCGGGGGCTTGTATGGAGAGGTTTTGTCCTGAGGAACTTGTTTTAGTTTCAGATTGTGGAGGCTGCTTTCAGAGGAGTCTTTCAGTTCGGGCGAGTCCGTTAAATCAACTTGTAGATATTCTTTTTTGCATTTATCCATCAAGAAGCTGGAATTTAGATTTTCAAGGTTAATGGTATCTTCAGACTGGAAGGACTTTCGTAAACTGTAAGAAGTTGTTGGATTGAGTACACTGTGAGTTTTTGTATGTTCCGCAAGTTCTCTTTTATGTGAGAACGTCATCAGACATAGTTCACATTCAAATTGTGATTCTTGAACTGTATGGGACTGGATGTGTGACAAATACTCTTCATGCTGTGTCAAAGTCTCTGTACAATAAGGACACTGGTACAACTCTATATGAGTGGTCTGACAATGGGCCGAGCTGGGACTTATTGTCAGCACATTCTTGGAATCTTCATGGCTTTGCAGGTGAACTTCAAGATTTTTGAAGCAACTAAATTTTTTGTTGCAAGAGCTACACTTGAACAAGTCGCTATCACTGCTTCTAAGTAATGGCCCATTTAGTTTATCCTGCAGCCCATCAGCATCAGATTTCTTGAAATTCTCTTGCAGATTATCCAGATAGATCAACGGATTCGGTTCCAGGTCAATTTCCTGTAAATGTTGCAGAAGATGCATTGTGACGGTGTTCACATTTGTAAACTCGACATGGCAGAGGACACACTTGAACCGCTTCTCTTCAGAGTGGGCCGAGATGTGAAGAACAAGTTTGTCCAATGTGTATTCATTACTACAGAATTCACAGTTGTACTGCTTCTGGTTACTGATATCCTCAGCCGGAAGCCGTGATACAATCAAGGTGTGCGTGTTGATTTTGTCCAACAACTCACTACTAGTGGTCGGAATGTAGCTTAACTGAAAATCAGGATTCGATGTGAGAACTGAAGATAAGCTATCAGCTTTAGAAGTGAGAGGGTTAGTTTCATATGTGATTTCAGGTCTAGACAGAAGGCTTTCCTCAGACGTTAAAGGCAAATTTACTTGCTCAAGTGTTTTTAGGGACTGCGGTGTACATGTAGATAGACTATCGCTTTTTGACGTGAGATCCGATTTATCAATCAAATCCCCATCTGGATTGAGTTGCAGAGTTGGAAACTCATTAAGCTCTTTTGAACAATTTGCGTCTCTTTCTTCTGGTGTCGTCAGCAGTATCTTCTCCCCCTGTTCAACCAAAGTGTGACTAACCTCGGAAAAATCAACACAAAAATTGGCCGCATTTTCCCAGCTATTACTCATTTGGCAATCTAGGGGATCCTTTTCTAGAATTATCTTATTGCTTCTGGAACTTTCTCCTAAAATTTCCTTCCCATCCACGTGTAGAATTTTATCTACTTCCTGAGGCTGTGATAGGTCTTGGTCAGACTCGGACACAAAGTGGGTCCGAACTTTGTCGCTCTCAGAAGTCCTGGGGGAAGATAGCACAGTTGTTTCCAAATTTGAACCCTTCCCCAGAGTCGGATTTGGTTCAAAATAGCTACTTGGAGTTTTAGATGAATCATCTTGCAAAGATGTTTTTTTGGTTCCAACCAATTCAGCAGACCTGTTACAATATTCATTCAGAATCATCATCAATTCTTTATTTTTTTGGAGGCTCTCTGTGAGACTATCAGCGGCCAGGGAGCCAACACTAAGACTTTCTTGGACATCAGGCGATTTTCTATCTTTACCCAACGGTTTCCAAGAAGAGAAGCTATCAAAAGACTCCGATGTTTTTTTGGAGAGCGAATCAACAGAGGAATTTTTTCGGCCAGTCCTCACCAGGCCACCGAATCTTTCAAGATATGGATCAGCTAACTCAAGTTCAAGGCTTGGATTCGTGGTTCCGCTCTCGGCAACAGATCTCTTAGTTGCTGATTGAAGATTGCATGTACTTGGGATTCTATACTCACTCAAGATTTCAATTTCGCAGTTACCGCTCACATTTTCTTTACCAGGATGTTTAGAATTCTCTCTTGAGCAATCCTCCTCGGGCCTTGGCTTCGAGGATGACATCACGCCAACCTGGTCAGGATTGAAGAAACCGAGTGGGGAAGTTTTGTCCTTGGCCGAATCAAGATGTGCCAGACTCAACAAAGAGAACGTATCATAATCGATATTCAACGACAGCTCGTTACATCTGTCACAGTAGAAGACCCACTGGCCAGATTTCGTCTTGCAGTGAATGGCAATGTGTTTTATATCAGCCACCTCTATGTTATTACGGATAAATTCTCGTTTTTTATCATTAATACTGTTTTCTGTTTGTATTGCAATGTTTTTGTATGTGCGTTCCGATGGCTGGAAAATCAAAGAAGGGTCGTTTTCAAGCTCTGGAGAATTTCCTAAACTGTTAATATTTGGTCGCCTTATTTTCTTACTGTGGAACAGTCCTTTGCTTCCTTGCTCTTTTGCACTGTCCATACAGGGCTGATAGTGTATTTTTAGATGATCCCGTTTTTGTGGTGACTGGACACTGCTTTTCTGGATATTCTTGCGGCACCGGATAAATTTCTTGGATACACCAGCTGCAATTTCTCCAGTTTGGGATTTTTCTGGTGACGATATTTGCTTACTGCTGGCAAATTTTTTTGCTCCCCCTCGATTTCCAGCTCGTGAAGTTGGAAAAACAGGACCGTCACTATCAATAACAAGATTCTGTGTTTCAAACAACTTGGTCTTCTTTTGCAAAATTCCAACAATTTCTGACCTGCTCGGGCTGGGCTCTGACTGGCTAACAGAGAACTGACCGCCAGAAAGCTGATGTCTGGAACGCAGTAAAGCTTGGTTGTTTGCAGCATTCCCAGACTGGGGAAAATTAGCCCTGGGGGTCGGATTACAAAGCATGTTACCAATCTGAAAAGCCCCTGAACTGGAGGCAGTTGCCAGGGACTGTTTTTCGGGGCTTGAAATTTGCGAGACTTCAGACAGCATCACATCTGTGCTATTTATTTCTTGACTTTGATTATCATTATTGATTTTGGAAGTTGAAAGAGAAGAATTGGCATCTTCCTGTGCAACCCTGTAACCAGAGGCATGGTTACGAAGGTGTTTCACTAAATGTCCCAGATGTGGGAACGTCTCAGAACAATACTTGCATTTGAAGCAATTGTCCTCACTGTGCACATTCTTAAGGTGCATTGTCAAAGTGCCCAGACTAGAGAAACGTTTCTCACACTTATTACACTTGAAGTTTTTCTCATTAACCAAATGAGTTCGGATATGACGTGTCAGGTCACCCCTCAAAGTGAAAGCTTTCGGACACTGTGGACAGTGAAACGGTTTCTCACCTGTGTGAATGCGGATGTGTCGATTAAGGTCTCCACGCAGGGAGAATGCTTTCTGGCAGAGGTCACACTTGAATGGACGCTCGCCAGTGTGTGTGCGAATGTGCTGTGTCAGGTGACAAGCTTGTGAGAACATCTTACTGCAGTATTCACATTTAAATGGCTTCTCACCTTTGGAGAGCGGCAGAATGGACCCTGAAGAATTTGGAGCCGATGAGGTCTTTGCTGACACAGTCTTACTCATCGGGAAACTGGTGATGCAATCTATTTCTGAAGTTACATTCAAAATATCCCCTAATTGTCCCGAACTGGCATCTTGAGTTTCTGCATTATGATCTGGAAGCTTCAAATTTTCAGTGACATGCTGGATTTCATCAGAGTTTACCGGGGTTGACTGCTGAGAAACA